GTCAGTCAGTGTGTCTGTATGAACCCCTCTCTCTCAGTGCAGTGTTAATGTACTGGAGTGTCCAGTCAGTCAGTGTGTCTGTATGAACCCCTCTCTCTCTGTGTGCAGAAGGCGGAGAGTTCTGATGAGGAGGAGGAAGGCAGACCTCTGATGATAAAGCCAGGAACAGGGAAAACATCACAGAAAGCTGCCAAGGATGAGAACGATGAATTTTTCCAGAAGGTAATTTTAACTCTTGAACCTGTTAATGAGAATCTGTCTAGGGTGGACTAGTGTCCCCTCGGTGACGGTCACCCCTGAAGGTCTGAATCCAAGCTGGAGCAGTCTGGGAATCCCAGCCACAGGAACAACACTGATGTTTCCATGTGTGACGAACCCATAAAGTCACAAGAAGAACTTTTAACTAGAATTGATGTATTTAAGTTCCTGCTGAGCAGTGTTGAAAGTGTGTCGTAAAATATCCTCTGCAGAGCGATGTAGGGAGTGGGGCTGGTGTCCTGGGTACATACATCCCTCTGGGCTCGTCCTCCTGGTTTTCTCTATAATTCCCCCCTTAGTTCACACAGCGCAGCCCTGTCTCTCTTCTCTGCCTGACTTGCTGAGCAGTAGCTGGTAGTAGTCTCTGCCTCGCAAGAACCTTGGGCGCAAAGCACAATAAAGTAGCGAAACGAAACTAATCATTTCCTCCAGTGGACGTCCCCTTGGGTATGTGCCTCCTCTCTTTTGTGACCTGCCTTGTGTTGGCTTCCTGTGTTACCGGTGCGTGTAGGAAGACCTACAAGCGATCTGTCCGTTTGAGGCATGCTGGGAAGATAGAATCGTTCAGTGGGTCGGAAAAGCACCGCCCCCTATAAATAAATCGGGGGACTGCGTGTCCTGTGGGGGCGCCGGTCACTAACCTCTTGGACCCCGTGTCTGTCCGGCAGGTGAGAGAGATCCACGAGGGCCTGGCCGCTCTCACCATGAAGGTCAACAGCCTGGAGGTCAAGCAGAGGACGATACTGGGAGTGGCCCTGCCTGAGGAAAGTGAGTAAGCTTCTCCCCCGGGACACTCCCGTGCGACATTGCACGCGGAACGGGACTCGGCTCCTTCCTTTCCGGATGGTCAGAGCTCCGGTTCAGAAGGCGCCTGTGAAGCGTCCTTCTTTCAGTGCGCGGTGATGACGTGTTTCTGGAGCGGCATGGTGCTCTGTTCTAGGGGATGAGCACTGCAGGATGAAGGTCTGCCCAGCTCTCGCGGAGTTGCTGTTGCATGTGGCGGAGTCGAAAAGCTTAGCAGCTTACAAAACCTGGAACTGGATGGACCTGCTATGCATTTGGAGGCTGCAGTCTTGGTTCAAATATCTGCCACTGGTAAAACCCAGGAGTGGATCCTTTGGCTATGCATTGGTAGGCCATGCCTCATTTACAGATGTAGCAATTTATTTACCCCTTCACCAAACAGCGTCTCCTGCGGGAGACTGGAGATGCGCTGCCTTCAGCCAACGGCGTCTCCTGAGGAAGACTGGAGATGCGCTGCCTTCAGCCAATGGCGTCTCCTGAGGAAGACTGGAGATGCGCTGCCTTCAGCCAATGGCGTCTCCTGAGGAAGACTGGAGATGCGCTGCCTTCAGCCAACAGCGTCTC